ACACAACAATTCCTACTTCTCAGTATAAATAGCTCAAGTATACTACTATTGCAGACTTCTTTCTTTGAAAAAAAGAAGAATTATTCGAAATAGTGGAAGTGTATACTAAACCCATCAAATTTTCCCTGTATATTTAAAATATAATATTTGAATTGTTACAATTTAAAATATTGTAGTAAATATTTGTATTATTCGCGTTGTTTATTTTAGCTAATATAGTTTTATTATTTTATTATCTTTGTTTAATTCTTTTGTTAGTTCTATTCAGTTAATTAGTTAGTTATATTTTAAATTTTATTATTATGGATAGTCAAAGTTTTCCATTTGTTCCATCAGCTAATGCGTTGGTAAGTTTTTCTTAATAAATATGATAAAATGTTTTTTAAAAAGTTTTTTTTAAAGATAATATTTTTAGATTAGTAAGGATGCTGTTCCTAGATTACAAGGTAATAAAACTGCACAAAGGTTTATTCAAAATGCCTACCATTTTTTTTACCGAATGAAAACCCTGTTGAGGTAAGTTGATCTTTAAAATGTATTTATCGAATTATGTAAATGTTGTAAATACATAAGGAACTTGCTGTGTCTTATTCTTATTTAACCTCACTTTGACTTCTTAATTTTGTAGAATTTATTCCCACTTTTTTATTTTGTACAATAAAAAATTTTATTATTTGTTATCAATACATTATACGGTGTAAATAAATAAATATTAATTGTCGGCAAAGTTCTATTTTATTTACTTTTGTTTACATTAATATTGACTAAGAGCACGTATGCTTGGTTATATAGTATTTTCCAGCCACTTCGAGTCTGTCAAAAAGTTACTAACTTTTAATTACTAATAACTAAATAATTACTAAAATCACTAAACTCTGTTTTTAAACCAGAGGAGTAAACCAAAAAGACAGATTCACACCCAAGAAAGTTACTAGAAAAGTCACCAAATACATCTTCTTTTTTTGTTGATTATCTCAGCCTTGCGGTAATCGAGTAATCATTATCAGACAACCTTCCACGTCCACGTCAATTCTAACCTAACTTTGTTAATTTATGTTTGAATATTTTTTTCAATTCACTTCCAATAGATATTACAATTATTACAATAAAAAAAGGACGTTTTTCACATTCATCCAAGTTTGGTTTTTCACATAAATTTGTCTTTTAATTTGCATATAGATCTAATAAGTATGCAACAAAGCTATGCAAATGCATGTATCAAAAAGTTAGAGAGAGTTCAAAGATTTCTGAAATACTGTTCTTTTAAACTGCGTAGACCATATTTTTATTCTGATGTGATTGATTTCTTGAATATAGGTTTTTTTTCTTACCAGAAGAGTTAACTTTGACTTTGATCATTATTTTTCTATTTGAAGCACTATAATGCAAAAAGATACTTTGTATAAATAAGTGTGTACTTGCATTTTTTTTAATGCTGGATTCTTGAGTTTGTAACATTTGTTATCAATAAGTAAAATTGACTAAAATTAACAAATTCAATCTATTATGTTACATTCAAGCATAATTTTGCAGTTTTCTTGTGATGGTCTACAACCAGGAAGAACAAAACCAACTGTATCAATACAATCACACTAAAACACAACATTACTTTACTAATGTTCTTTTATTGTGATGAAAACAAAATGAAAATGCTTCTTAACAAGTGTACACTAAATTTAAAAGATAGTTGCCGTTTTTATTATGATAATTAGGTATAAATAACATACATTTATAAATTTATAAACACTTTAAACAATATTTAGTATAAATAGGATCTAGAAAAATATCACATTAAATTATATTCGCATATGACCAGTCTGCTTATATGCTTTAATTGTTTGGTAAATAGTTGAATTCGCAACACCTAAAATTAGCACATTACTTTAGTAAGTCTTGATTTTAATAATAACTATTCTGCAAAACTAACCTGCTGTCTGTTTTACTTTTGCTACCGTGGCTGTTATTTTCAATCCAGAATTATCAATTTTCATTTTTTTATATACTTCATCTAATTTAGATAACGACTTACGTCATGATCTACGTCAGAGATCGAAGTTGACATAGTTGCCAAAGCATAAAAAAATCCTGAATCCATTTTAAATCAAATAGGTCACATAATGATTGCAACAGTATTGCCATCTCTTTACACTGACTATTAAAATTCTTAAATGATATTTTTAAAATAAAACACACTAATTTTGTTCTAAAAAGGACAGATTTTATTAAATAGTTAAAAATATAAAACAAGAGACATTCACTTTAAAATTCAAAATAATAAAGTACAAAAAATGTCAACACCGCAACTGTCAAGTAAGTGTTACCAATTTATGCTAAAATTTTATCTTCGTTCGATTACAGTTACAGTGTGTTCCGAATAAATGTTCTTGAGAAAAATGCTTTATAATGCATTTATACAAATTAAATGAAACATATTATTGTGTATTTCTTTAAGGTAACATTAATAGAAATTTTTAAATATTATTTCTACGCGTATATAATAAAATATGTCTAGTGGCTGTAATGCCAGTGTACTCGGTAAAGTAATTCTAAAAAAGATCACACCTACCGTCTAAATATTTCGTGTTGGTATCATGTGACTTCACAGGCTATGACGCCGATGACGTACATCGTTATATAAATTAGATGAAGTGTACATGTTTATAATACATTATTTCTTATTTGTTGATAAATGACCCAAATCTACTCGGCGTTTTTAAAGTGGAGAAGAATAATTACCACTAGTACTTGGCATCGAATCCATATTGTTATCTTAATAACACTAAATAGTTCTGAAAAGAACTGTTCTTTATATAAATGCAAACGAAAAATCTATGAATGTAAGGAATAACGCAGAAAATACAAAAAATCGTCGATATAAATTTTGAATTTTAAAATTTCACAAATGTCATTAGTGTCAATATGTCATAATTTAGTGGAGTAAACTTGCCTGTGGTTGGACCAATTACAAACAAGAATTACGGCGCGGAAAATTTGAATTACTCCTCCTGGTTAAAAAACAGGCCATAGACAGTTCGGACTGGGAATAGCGAACCGGGTATAATATTCTATTACTATCATAAACTAGTTTTTTTTCTAATTTTAGCTAATTTCTATTAGAAACATACTTTATGAAGATTATATAAAATAATATTAAGTACTTTTGTGATTAAATATCATTTAAAATATTGCTTATTCAGCATTATTATCATGACTTTTAAAAAATAATAAATTAACTGAAAAATATTAAACGTTTATTAAAAATATTCTCAAGAAACTCCAGCTAAATGCCAAAAAAGTTTAAGTTGGTTGCCTACATTTGGAGCAACTGAACGGTATAAACTAAATTACTGTAACTTTTTTATAAAATATATTTTTTATATATAATATACATTTTATATATAATAGAAACTTTATACATACAATATATACATGGATGTTAACTGAAATGTTTTTGTTATTAAGAATATATTTACAGAACTTCATAAATATATTTTAGTGATCAACCTACGCCGAATGAGCAAATAATTAAAAAAATGGTTGGTGTTTTGAATAAATCTTTGTGCAGGTTGATTACCTTGTAATTTAACAGCATCCTTAATCATCTAAAAATATTAACTTTTAAAGAACAGTTATCATATTTATTTAAGAAAAACTTACCAACGCATTATCTTATAGAACAAATGGAAAACTTTGACTATCCCTAATAATAAAATTCAAAATAGAACTATAACTAAATAAACTAAATAGAACTAACAACAATATTTACTACAATATAATATTAAATTGTAGTAACTCAAATAGTATATTTTAAATATACAGGGAAAATTTGATGGGTTTAGTATACACTTCGACTATTTCGAATAATTCTTCTTTTTTTCAAAGAAAGAAGCTGCAATAGTAGTATACTCATCGAGCAAAAAGATAAAAGAGGGAATCTAATCCTTATGAAAAGGAGACCAAAAAAGTGGCCTCTGATGGCGGGCATATCCGGAAATGCAAAGGCGCTAAATTTAAATTTTCCAACACTTGTTAACAATAGCTGTAAAATATTTTTCAGACAAGAAAGTTTTAATTAAATATTAACGATAATAGTCTAAAAAGTGACACAATTGGTAAAAAACTTCAATATAAATAAAATTTCATGTGACAGTTGCATCGAGCAATAAGACAAAAGAGGGAATGTAAAGGTAGTGGGGGTAAACATATTGATAGACAGGAAGTGCCATCTTGAGAGGCCACTTTAGACAAGGATAGACAGTCTCTTTCCTTGTTTAAGAAGTCAAATTTAGTTAGGTTATGTTATTGTTTGTCCCAACTGTCACATGAAATTTTATTTATATTGAAATCTTTTACCAATTGTGTCACTTTTTAGACTATTATAGTTAATATTTAATTAAAACTTTCTCGTCTGAAAAATATTTTATAACTATTGTTAATAAGTGTTGGAAAATTTAAATTTAGCGCCTTTGCATTTCCGGATATGTCCGCCATCAGAGGCCACTTTTTTGGTCTCCTTTTCATAACGATTAGATTCCCTCTTTTATCTTTTTGCTCGATGGACAGTTGGGACAAACAATAACATAACCAAACTAAATTTGACTTCTTAAACAAGGAAAGAGACAGTCTATCCTTGTTTAAAGTGGCCTCTCAAGATAGCACTTCCTGTCTAACATTATTTTTGTCCCCACTACCTTTACATTCCCTCTTTTATCTTTTTGCTCGATGAGTATACTTGAGCTATTAATACTGATAAGTAGAAATTGTTGTGTTGTAGGGATGGTTGTAGGTTTCCGACAATGAGTCTGTCAAAATATGCCCTAGCTAAGCGAATGGAGAATATAAGCAAATTAAAATACAGAATCCTCCAGACGATTTTCACATTTGGTCCCATTGAAGATAGCCTCAAATTAGCTGTCAATTAAGTTTCACAGAACGAAATATTGCGTTGGCAGTGTTGCCATGTTATTATAATGTATATGTTATTTGCTTCAAATACAAATAGATAAAGCTTTTAAAAGGTACATTTTTTTATCATATTATTTTATGGTTTCTGCAATTTTACCGTCCCCGGTCACAGATCACCTACCTCCCGGTTATTAGTGGTCTGTGGTCCCCGGTTTCCTTTGTAAGCAAATGGAAGTAAAACAAGAAAATATGGGGGCAATGTGTAAAGTAGAGATAGAGTATAATGAGTTGGATGATGCTGTTTTGGAAAGCTTTAAATCTGAAATCCAGGAGGAATCAAATAGGCAAAGTACACATAACACATATGATTATTTGGACTTGAATAATAAATGTTCCATAAATAATGAAATAAAGCAACATGGAAATAAACTTGAAGATCAACAAACTCAAAAAGGTTAGTAACAATATATTTAAGGCCTCCCATATTAATTTACAAGAATAAATAGGAACATACCAATAGGGAATGACATAAATACCAAAGAATATAGACGCTTAATCCTCTATATTCTTTGTAAATACTAATAGGAATTACTATTAGTATTTACAAAGAATAACATACAATAATAATAGGAAGAGTAATAATATATTACTATAGGAATAACTATTTTACCAGCTAATATAATAATTTTGATCTGAAATACAATTTCAGGGCACAAGAGAATATTACAAATTTTGTATATGTTGTTAAAAAAAGAAATATGAACCACAGTAAAACACAAATCTAAATGTCAGCAACATTAGTTACAGATTATAAATAGTTCACCAAGTGTTTAAGAATTTATATACCATTATAATAATTATATTTACTTGTTGTTTTATTGAAAATGTAAAAGAACTATCCTGCAATATTGAATATATTTTATTTTCTTAGATACTTTGTAGAGGCGGGTTTGTACTTCTTAGCCATTGTTATCAAGTACATTATTTTATATTTTGAGGGCAATTCTGATACATTCCACAAATCCTATCAAGTGTGTCATTCTTTTAATTCTGGTTAAAAAAGTTACTCAGAAGTTCCATTGTCATTGTGGCACCTCTGTGTGTGCACAACTGTTTTTATGCCACAATATTGAATGTGTTGAGATATGTATTAAAAGTCAATAGAGCTGATTATTGTCGCTATACAGGACAATAACTCTCGACGATGTTAATAGTTGCTATTGGCAGTTGTACTGAAAGTGACCATATATCATTGTTTTCAACACAGATAAATATGTAACACCTGCAGACAATTGCTCTCTTCAGTCTCAGAGCTTGGCACAATGGCTTGATGCTGGTATTCTCATTGTGAAAACTTAAACTTCACAATATTTAATTCAATTTCCAACCACATCAACCTGGACCACATTATGTTGGATTAATCCTGTTAATGGAATTTAAAGGCACCCTCATGGATGAAAATTAGCATTCTTTTAAAATATTACATCCATGACTTGGTGATACTATTACACATATAGAAGACATAAACATAGATTTTTAAAACATATTTATATCATTTACTACTTCTGCTGTCAGAAACTTGATTATGCTCTAATTTTATTATTGCATTAATTTTCCCTTATACTCAAATATTTTTATCATAGTTGGTTTGTATTTTAGATTGTATCCAAGATGAACAAAAAATCCAAAATATGGAGGCACTAATTATTGGAGATTCATCTTACGAAGAAAATTATATGAGTCAACACTCTGAAGGAAAAACATTAAATAAAACAATGAAAATTGTGGCTGGACAAAGACCTCACAAGTGCGAAATTTGTTTTAAACAGTTTTCTCACAAATGTTTTTTAAAAACACATTTGAGAGTACATTCTGGGAAAAAACCTTACAAATGTGAAATGTGTTTTAAGCAGTTTAATACTAAAAGTGACTTGAAAAAACATTTGAGAACTCATACTGGAGAAAAACCTTATAAGTGTGAAGTTTGTTTAAAACAATTTAGTGAAGCGGGTACATTGAAAACACATATGAGAGTGCACACTGGAGAAAAATCTTACCAGTGTGAAATTTGTTTAAAACAATTTAGTGAAGCAGGTACATTAAAAACACATTTGAGAGTGCATACTGGAGAAAAGCCTTATGAGTGTGAAATTTGTTTTAAGCAATTTAGTCAAGCAAGTAATTTGAAAACACATTTGAGAGTGCACACTCGAGACAAATCTTATAAGTGTGAAATTTGTTTTAAGCAATTTAGTGTAGCAGGTAATTTGAAAAGGCATATGAGAGTGCACACTGGAGAAAAATCTAACAAGTGTGAAATTTGTTTTAAGCAATTTAAACAAGCAAGTAATTTGAAAACACATTTGAGAGTGCATACTGGAGAAAAATCTTATAATTGTGAAATTTGTTTTAAGCAATTTAGTCTAGCACATCATTTGAAAACACATTTGAGAGTGCACACTGGGGAAAAATCTTATAAGTGTGCAATTTGTTTTAAGCAATTTAATCAAGCAGGTACTTTGAAAACACATTTGAGACTGCACACAGGAGAAAAATCTTACAAGTGTGAAATTTGTTTTAAGCAATTTAAACAAGCAAGTAATTTGAAAACACATTTGAGAGTGCATACTGGAGAAAAATCTTATAAGTGTGAAATTTGTTTTAAGCAATTTAGTCTAGCACATCATTTGAAAACACATTTGAGAGTGCACACTGGGGAAAAATCTTATAAGTGTGAAATTTGTTTTAAGCAATTTAATCAAGCAGGTACTTTGAAAACACATTTGAGACTGCACACAGGAGAAAAATCTTACAAGTGTGAAATTTGTTTTAAGCAATTTAAACAAGCAAGTAATTTGAAAACACATTTGAGAGTGCATACTGGAGAAAAATCTTATAAGTGTGAAATTTGTTTTAGGCAATTTAGTCTAGCACATCATTTGAAAACACATTTGAGAGTGCACACTGGGGAAAAATCTTATAAGTGTGAAATTTGTTTTAAGCAATTTAATCAAGCAGGTACTTTGAAAACACATTTGAGACTGCACACAGGAGAAAAATCTTACAAGTGTGAAATTTGTTTTAAGCAATTTAGTGTAGCAAGTAATTTGAAAACGCATATTAGAGTGCACACTGGAGAAAAATCTTACAAGTGCAAAATTTGTTTTAAGCAATTTAGTCAAACAGGTAATTTGAAAAGACATTTGAGAGTCCACACTGGAGAAAAATCTTATAAGTGTGAAATTTGTTTTAAGCAGTTTAGTCGAGCAGAACATTTGAAAGTACATTTGAGAGTGCACTCTGGAGAAAAATCTTGTAAGTGTGAAATTTGTTTAAAACAGTTTAATGATGCAAGTACTTTGAAAACACATTTGAGAGTGCATACTGGAGAAAAATCTTATAAGTGTGAAATTTGTTTTAAGCAGTTTAGTCGAGCAGAACATTTGAAAGTACATTTGAGAGTGCACTCTGGAGAAAAATCTTACAAGTGTGAAATTTGTTTTAAGCAATTTAAACAAGCAAGTAATTTGAAAACACATTTGAGAGTGCATACTGGAGAAAAATCTTATAAGTGTGAAATTTGTTTTAAGCAATTTAGTCTAGCACATCATTTGAAAACACATTTGAGAGTGCACACTGGGGAAAAATCTTATAAGTGTGAAATTTGTTTTAAGCAATTTAATCAAGCAGGTACTTTGAAAACACATTTGAGACTGCACACAGGAGAAACATCTTACAAGTGTGAAATTTGTTTTAAGCAATTTAAACAAGCAAGTACTTTGAAAACACATTTGAGAGTGCACACTGGAGAAAAATCTTGAAATTTGTTTTAAGCAGTTTTCTCAGTCAGTTTCATTGAAAACACACTTAAGAGTGCACACTAAAGAAACACTTTATAAGTGTGAAACTTGTTTTAAGCAATTTAATTTAAGCAGTTTTCTAGCAAAAATATTTTGAAAATACATTTGAAAGTGCACAGTGAAGAAAACCAAATTTGATTTATTTTAAGCAGTTTTCTTTTCCAAATTTTAATATGAAACTTTATAATGAGTTTACACACTGGAGAAATGTCTTTTAAATGATTTGACACAGCCTATGATTTTAAACTACCTAGAAGAAAGCAAACCTTAAATTCTTTTTGCTAATTCCTTAATTCTAGCAGCTCCCAATTTACTCATGCATCTTCTTTCTGTGCAACATAATTAAACTGATGAGTTATTCACAGTATTCAGCTAATCAGAATAGTTGTTCAGCACAGCATATTTCTGTTCATTTGTGAATGTTCTTGAGCCATGACATCTGCTTCCTTCCAATTCCTCTGTGGCCCTTGATTTGATCTTTTATGATAACCTGAAGGATTCTGCGCCAGTCTCCTCTAAGAACATATCTTAGGATGAAATTTTTCTTATTTTAATAGATTTCAGCAAATCACGAACAGCATTTGCTTTATTTAACACAGCGTTGTTTGTCTGCATCACAGTCCAGAGCATTCTGAGCACTGTTCTATCCAATAACTCTTGAATGCCTTGGAGACTGTCGCATAAAATAACAGTGTCATTAGAATTTTTAAGATTATTGATCAGTTCAGAAGCCATTCTTGCAGTAAGCGTTATGCAGTGACATACTGGATATTTTTCACTGTTGCATTGTTTCTTTTACTTGTGTTATTTAAATTTGATTTTGTTGTGCTTTGACGTTTTGTATTCGTATATTTTGTTTTAATTATTTTAGTTTTACTCATTTTATGCAAAAGTTCTTTTTAAGAAAACTGTAAAAGTAAGGAAATAAAATAGTAGATAACTTTTATTTTTATTCTGTATGAAATGTGTGTTTGTTGGAGAATTAAGTAACGAAACTCTGAATGAAAGGCACAAGTTTATTTAGTTGTTAATCGCTTAGGGTATAAAACTATACTGACTTAATGAGTACAAACCATGGACGTATAAACACAGATGGACGCAGTTATTTACATAAAATTGTGAAGTCAAAATTGTTTGAATAGGTCACATTCTCAACACATTCAACTGTTGTCATGTTTTTTTTATTAAAATTTCTTATTCACGAGTCACTGAAAATATTACTCCGTATTTTATACTCTACAGGTGCTATCAAACCAAAATAATAATTTATTGTTATATTAATATATTTAATTGTAATCCAAATATCAAGTGTGCACATAGTGTGCATTACCATTTAATAATAGCGTATAATAGATATCAATCAATTATTTTATATGTAGAAGCACTGAAAACTATTTATAAATGGCAACGGTGTTTACATTTTTCTGTCTTATGGCCTACGTCAAACTTCAAATGCATGTTTGTTTACTTTTTACAGTAGATGAGGAAAAGTTGTTTTTCGATATTTTGGCTGTATTTTGAGTAATATTTGTGAAAAGTGAAATAAACATATTATAATAATAGTGCTACAGTTTTGCATTTGCAAAAAATGAAATATTTACATCCCGATCTCTCATTTCATTTGTAAGTACTGTCTGTTTACATTATTTAAGATGAGGAACTGCCGTACCATTGGGTTTATTCTTCTTCTTCTTCTACTTTTTGTAGATCTTTCGATCTGTTTAATTCTGAAGCTGCCTCTGGTTAATTTCTTGGGAGGTAGATTGCCAACTATCCCTCCATCTTTTAGGTGGTCTTCCGGGGGTCTTGAACCGGGCGGATTGTTTTCTAGGGCAATTTTTGGGAGTCTATTCTCATCCATTCGTCTTACATGGTTGTACCACATCCTCTTGCGCTGCCTTCCCCATCTTACAATATCTTGAATTTTGCACTGCTCTCTAATGTTTGTATTTCTCACTCTGTCTCTTCTTGTTTTCCCCATTATTGTTCTTAGGGTTTTCATTTCGGCAACCCTTAGCATCTGTTTCGTTTTGTTGGTATCTTCGCGCACTTCTATGCCATATGTCCTGATCGGTCGTATGCAAGTCTTATAGATTCTAATTTTACTATCTGTGCGCATATACGGATTTGACCAGACTATCTCCCGCAGACATCCTGACAGTGCAGATGCTTTGTTGATTTGACTCCTCAGGTCCTTTACTGGGTCGTGGGTGCTTGATATATCTATGCCCAGATATCTGAATTGCATCACCTGTTCTATGGGGTTGTCCTCAACCACTAACTTACATCTGAGCGGATCTTTTGCTATTGTCATACATTTAGTTTTGTTGGTAGAGATGTTCATATTTAGTAGTCGGCTTGTTTGAAAGAACTGAAAGAGCTGCCTTTGGAGATCATCTTCTGATTCGGCAATAATTGCTGCATCGTCTGCGTAACACACCATACCAATTCTTTTGTTGCCCATTCTATATCCGAGATTAAGAGATGTTACTTTGTTGATAATTTTGCCCATGAGAAGATTAAACAAGAAGGGGCTTAAACTGTCGACTTGTCTAATTCCTCCCGGTGTTGGAATATTTTCAGTGAATTCGTCTCCTGCTCTAACTTTGGTTACATTGTTGTTATTTAGGTTATGGAGTATCTTTGTTATACTGGTCGGTGTTTCATTTTCTATTAATATATTTAGAATGTCTCCCAGGCGAACTCTGTCAAATGCCTTCGTCAAATCAATGAAGCAAATATACGCTGGCATGCCGAACTCTATAGCTTTTTCTTTTATTTGTTTTATTATAAATACTGCGTCTGTTATAGACCGCCCTTTTGTAAAACCTTGTTGTTCTTCAGCATTAGTGATTTGCTTTTCCAATTTGTCCTTGAGAATACCCGTGAAAAGTTTCATTGTTGTATTTAAGAGGGTTATTCCTCTATAGTTTTGTGGGCAGGTTTTTTGTCCTTTTTTAAATATGGGGATTGTGATACTATTATGCCATTCCTCTGGTGTTTCTGTTTTGTTTAATATTTTGTTAAACAGTTGTGCCAGTTTACTTGCAAGTTCCGGGCCTCCATATTTTAAAAGTTCATTGGGTATACCATCCGTTCCCGGTTTTATTCATGTTCTGCATGTTTTATCATGCGTTCGTTTCTTTGCTTGGCTGATTCTCGTTTCTTTTCAGTCCAGCTAAATTGGGTTGGTATAACACCCTTCTTGAGTCTAGGCTTTGCTTTAAAAAAATTGTTCACAAAAAAGTTGAGGTTATAATGATGGTACTAAGTAAATAATAATTTAATGAAATAAAGACTTCTTTTGTATGTTAGTATATTAAATTAGTTTAATATAAAAACATACAACAGCAGTTTTTACTTCATTTTAATATGGCATACAGCTAACTACAGGGTTTTCCCTATTATATTCTTAGTACCTAAATATGGCTGCAACTAAATATTCCAGAAAAACCTAAGTATTTTAACAAATAAACAACTTACGATTTTTTAAAGTCGAATCCAGGGGCAATACGTAATCTGTTTCAACAAAATGTTTATTGCAGATACGTGCATTTATTGTCGGCATATATTTATCCCTTCTAATTGCTACAATCGACTTTTCTCATCACAATATCTTTGGGAAACCTGTGTCCTGATGTTCTCGATGAGCACAAAGGCACAACACAACATTGAGGCATTTTATTTGCTCAAATTAAATTCACAAAGCCAAATAAACACAATATTTACATAAAAGTAAATTGATTTGAAGATTTGACGTGACCTCCAACTACACAAGCGCCACCTACGTTGAGCTTTTCAGATTAGCTGCCCTTCTGTCAAAAAGTAACTAACTTCGTAAAAACATACTTACTAAAATCACTAGAGGCAGTTCGGACTCTCTACTTATATATACTTAATCTATGGTTTGGACTGGCATCACAATACATACCCAACTGGCATTAGCAAACCGAGTATATCAAGCATAAGCAATAAAGCATAGATAAAATAAAATAATCATCATCATAGAAAGTATCAACAATCGAATTTGTGTTCGGTTTATTTGTTAGGTATGGAATCTAACATTAAAATTAAGGAAGAGTCTGTTGAATGTGACCAAATACCCATAGACAATCAACTATTCACATCAACTGGTCCTGAAGACTTTAATAATAAACCAGCAGGTAGTTCAAGACAAGTAATAATAATTAGTACTAAACAATGAGATGTAATTCTTATTTTTTATTAGCTAGGACAGTAAGAGCTGAAATTAAGGAAGAGTTTGGTAAAAGTGACCCAGGATATACAGAGAGTCATGTATCCACCTCTCTTGATCTGATAGACTTAAAGAATGAACCAGATGAATATAACTCAGGTAAGATAATTAACTTCTTCGGAATGTTCTCTAGACGTAAACCGTAATAATAATATAATTAAGACAATGATTATTTTAGTGCACCCAACATAATTAATACTAAACACTTTGATGTAATTATTTTTTTTTAAGATAGGGCAGTAAAAGCTGAAATTAAGGAAGATGAAGGAGATCCAAGATATATAGAGAATCAGCTATCCACCTCCCTTGATCTGGGAAAGAATGAAGATACCTCAGGTGAGATAAATAATAAAAATATTGGTACCTACTAGTGTAGCAAGATGGAACAATATCTGTGGAGATGAAATTTATATCAATGAATTCTGCTTCACTTACTGATGATTGTATGATGTTTTCATTTGTTCCTTTTATGTTACTTTAAGATTCAATCCAGTCATCACTTGTTACAGTTCATCACATCACTAACTGGGTGGTGACCGATATTGGCATTCCAGTAGTGTCTTGTTGATGAAAGTTGAATTATCAACATGTAAATAGTAATTCCTATAAATTGTTCTATTTCTTATTTTTTTATGTGAGCTGATTTATCTGGATGTTGTTGCATGGGTATAAATTTTATTGTTGTGCGATATGATCTATAAGATTATCAGGAAAGAGAAAATTCTATTGTTTCTAATTGTAAAATCGAGGAAGGTAAATTTTCAGTACCAGTAAATTTTGTATCATTTTATGATCTTCTCAGATTACTGAACACTTTATATCCAAAATCCGGAACAAACCACAGAGAAATGTATTAATAAAGTGCACTAAACAAATAAACTTAATAATGTGACCAAACTAAACTAATAAATACTATACTGTCGTCTTTTTGTGGAAAATAAGGGGTGTAAAACCCTTAAAAAACCATAAAGTACGCTCTTTTGATGTTACCTTGTCTTTACAAAGACAAGGCAAAGTAAAATAAACCACTTCTAGGGTTAAAATAAAACAACAGGTACAGTTGAAAAGAAACTCAGTCACAGAGTCTAGGAAACAATACGCAGAGCCCCTAGAGCGCTATATTCTAGGGGAGCCCGAGAAGAACTGACCTGCCTGGCTTGAAAATCACCGATATTTATAATTGTTTTACTATTTATATGGTAATTTGTAGTAATTTGAGTGCGTACTAGTTCTCAGACTATGGCACTCGATGACAATACTATACAATATACTATGTAAAAAATATCTATATAATAGACTAAATTTCAAAATATTGTCGCTGAGATAAATTTCCGAAAAATAGGAATACTAAATACACATCCAACTAGTGGGTGAAGACGGATAATCTATTTTAAAAGGGAACTGCACTTGCCAGTTTTCTCAGCTATCACTAACGATATGCTGATATCACGTTGACATGACAACCATGAACGCTTATGTGGATGGATTTCGCACTTCAAAAGTGATATTCACCTATTCCTGAATCATACACGCATCGAGCAAAAAGACAAAAGAGGAAATGTAAAGGTAGTGGGGGCAAAAATATTGTTAGGACTGTTATCGTTAATAAAGTTTCTCGTCTAAGACACATTCTGAAAACTATTTTATAGCTACTGTTAATAAGTGTCGAAAAATTTAAATTTGGTGCATTCGCATTTCCGGATATGTCCGCCATCAGAGGCCACTTTTTTGGTCTCCTTTTCATAACGATTAAATTCCCTCTTCTTTTTGCTCGTTGCATACACGGCTAGTGACACAGGTCAGGACTTGACCGTCAAGTACCTACTGCTAATAAAGCTAGTTGTCATGTTTAATTTTTACATTAATTAAAAGAGAATATATTCAGATTATCAGAAATATTCAGAAATATCAGAATTTAGATATAATAATGTTGCTCTTATTTTTTATTTATTTGTCTCAATTTAATTATATTTTTTTGGTGAACCATGTTTTCATTATTTTTGTGAGTCCAAGTCCCTGAACCATATGTTAGGACTGGGTGTATTATTGTTTTGTAGAGTTTTATTTTTGTATTTCTCGATATAATTATGGATTTGGAGCGCTCCTAGGTATACAAATTCGGTCACTGCTTCTATGATGTCGTTTTCTATAACGAGTGATCGTAGGATTTCTGGTTGCGTACTTACAGTAAAACCTCCCTTAACCGAAATGGCTGACAGCTCTAAAAGATATTTGAGAAAAAGCACTTCCAGTTTTTCATAGAAGCCAAAAAAGCTCATAGACGTCGACCACTTTATTTTCAGAATGGTTCGAAAATGTATTCATCCCAAGTGTAAAATCCTTGTTAAAATAAAAAAAAAACGTTCCCAAAAAGCATTGTTGCTTCTTGACAGGACAGGATGAACAAACAAAAGGAGGTCGTATTGAGTGTTAAAATGAGGAAACTACAGTACCTGGGACATATTACACGTGGGAATAAATATCAACTGTTGCAACTAATTATGCAAGGAAAGATTGAAGGTAGGCGCAGCATAGGTAGGAGAAGAATGTCATGGTTGAGAAACCTCAGGGAGTGGTTTGCTTGCACTTCCATACAATTGTTCCGAGCGGCAGCCTCCAGGGTCAAAATTGCCATGATGATAGCCAACCTTCGTAGCGGAGATGGCACGTGAAGAAGAAGAAGCTTCTTGACAATGCGCCAACTCACCTTCAAAATCTACACAATAGTGATAATTGTCAGATTTTTGCCACTGAATGTTTGCCACCGGAGCTTAATTCAGCTGTTATACCAGGGAGTAATAGAGACATTATAGAGGAGCATTCTTAAGACATCTGTTATTGAAGGAGACGAATGAATCCAAAAGTGTTCCCGAAATTCTCAAATCTTCAACAATGAAACATGTTGTTTATTGGTGTGCAGAGTTCTGCGCTATGATTAAATCTTCAACTTTATAAAAATGCTGGAACTAACTTTTTGATGGGATTTTGATTGACGATCCTGAAGAAGAAAATGGTAATGAAACGTCAGAAGAAATTAAACCTTTAATAAAAAATTTGGGTATGTGACGAAATTAACCAAGAAGAGATACATGAGTGGTTAGCAGCCGATGACTCAGAAAGTGAATTCATCGACCAGGACATCATTGATATGGTTCTTTATTCAGAAAACCTGAGCGTATCAGACGACGAAGATGACCCAACAGACAAGAGACAGCATGAGACCGCCGACGAGATTTTCAATGCCTTAAGGATAAGAATTTTATTCAATAGTAGTTAGGGACACGACTAGGTTCTTAATTTTTGTCGTCTTTGTATAAAGTTTTGTCCTTTGCAGATTGCTTTACGTTTCGTCGAACGATGGAATGAGGCAAACTCACGACCTTCCCCCCCAATTATTTCGGTTAACAGAGGTTTTACTGTATTTTCATATATTTTGTTTTGTTGGTGTTTTTTATAATGTAGCTTATTCTTTTAATGTTACATATGTCTCTCGTACAGCGTTTTCCGTTCGTTCAACAATATTGATATCAGCATAGACCAGGATTTGCACCGATTTATTATATATTGAACCAGTGGTTGTGATTTGTGACATACATATTACTTTTTCCAGTTCCAGATTGAACAGTATACAGGAGAGAGGGTCTCCCTGGCGCAGCCCATTATTTGTTTTAAAAGGTTCAAACAGTTCTCCCTGAATTCGTACTCTACATTCAACTTTTTCAAGAGTTAGTTTTGTTAAATTTACCAACTGATGTGGTATTCCTAGCTCTTTCATTGCTTTGAACGTAGTCGTAGGCTACTGTGTAGTCTATAAATATGTGATGAGTATCGATGCAATATTTTAGTGCAGTTTTTTCCAAAATTTGTTTCAGGGTTGCACTCTGAAGAATCGTCGATTTACCACCTCTGAAACCAGTGTGGTATTTTCTTATATGTTCTGCATATGGTGCCATACGATGACAGTACTGTGGAAAATATTTTATACGCTTCATTTAGAAGCGTAATTCCTCTGTGGTTAGAGCATTCAAAGATATCTCCTTTTTTCTATATGGTGCAAGGTATTCCAATCATTGGGGAGGGATTTCTGTGTCCATAGTTTTTTTATAAGCTGCTGTAAAGCCATAATGGTATCATGGCCACCTTTATATAGTTCAGCTGGGAGATGATCTATTCCGGGTGATTTGTTTCTGGCTAGTTTTTTAACTACATTTTTAAGGATCGTTTATGGTTCCCCTTCCCTGTCGTTTACTCCCCTTACCTCATATCTTTCATCTTCCAGGTTAAAGTATTCCACCCATCTATTCAGTACATCTTTCTTTGTTGTTAATAGGTCGCCATTCTGACTTCTGCATTGTCTTGGTTTGACTTGAATTCTTTTCTGTTGATGTTTAACTTTTTCTATAGAATGCTTTGAATTGTTTCTCTCTGTTAAGGTTTCTCTATATATTTAAGTTCCGTGCTAAGGTGGTTTCGTTTTTTTTTGTTTTGTGTATCCTCTTTTCTTCTCTTCTCTTTGTCTGGTAATTCTCCACAGTTGTTCTAGTTGGTCGGGTAAGCATCTTTCTGTAGGTTTCATTTTTTTACTATCTTTTAAACATTTAAAATTGGAGCTAATTTAAAAGTGTTGTTTTAACGACCACTTCGTTATAAAACCAAGTGGCCATACTCTACTAGTAGTTGGGCTACAGCATATACAGAGTTTTTAGGTTTAGCACAGAGTGTTTTATTGTACGGATCCGGTTTTGTTTCATTTTCCTCAAAAAATATTCCTTTCTGTCAACCATTTTCTCATGTAGCTGATGTAGAGCATTTTTTAACAGTCATATTATGATATGAAACGTTTTCTATTACTAAAACTGAATTGGAAGGTAAATTGGGAAGAAGTTTTTCTTTCTTTCAACTGTTTTATATAAGTCTGATGATGCATGTGTCATGATAATCGCCAGTTGTTAGTCTGGATTTTAAAATGAGAGCAGGGTTTCAACAAATCCATTTTTACCATCACGATGTAAAATGATCAGTCATTGCCCTTTAGATACAGGACATTTTAAGCTCATATTTAGTACATCATCACAACCTTTTGGAACTGTGTCGGTATTATATGTAAGTCTCATCACTATACAATATTTCTATCCACAAAAAATTGGGAAATACTTAAAAATTACTTATAATATTAATGAATATATTACTTT